ATCTCCTCCGGCCAGCCCTGCTGCCCCCGACCCCCACCCCAGCCCTGCTTCCTGTCCTTCCCCCCTCCTCCAGCCAGCCCCACTCCCCTCCCGGCTGGTCCCTCCCTCCCCCCGATCAAGTGTGTCCAGTATTTTTTCTGAAGCTATCTGGTAACCCTAAGTACAGGCCCAGTGGGGTCAGAAGGTCAGCGCTGGGAGGATGTGGGATTAGCCCTCTGTCTCCAGTTTAACCATGGGAGTCATTTGCCAGCCCTTCCCAGGTGCTGTGGGATGAGGGTGTATTACACCTCGATCCCTGATAATCAAGGCCTTTGTCACTGCTTGAGAGAACATAAGGAGTTTGTTATCCATCAATTCTACACTGCAGCCATAGCCAAGGGATGGCCTCCTCTGCCCTGCAAATCACTTTTCCCTCAGTTGCGGCTGAACCCCACTGAAACAGAGGAAGAGTACAAAGTTGCGACCCAGGGGAGATGGGCCATTTAGAGAAAGGCCACCAGATCTGGGCTATTTTGAGCAGCCCAGCCAGAAATTACAGCCCGTAAAGCCAGCTTCTGAAACTCGCTCCCAGTCAGCGGCGTTAAGGAAAACTCCAGAGTCCAGTGTGTCTCTCTACAATTTTCCTGTCTGATAGCAGGCAGACTCGGCAGAGCTCCCTCATTTCCCACGCTGAGACCTCTCTCCTGACTAACAACTGGGTCTGGGAGTCCTTTGAGCGAAGGAGAAACGGGGCCTTGTCTTACGCTGCCTATGCAGCGACCATGCACCAAACCGGGGACATGAGGACAAGCCAGCTGCAGAGAGAATTCCACAGGATATGCTGTAACAGACCCTCCAGCTGGGAGTCCTGGCGTCTTTCGGTCAGGGCCGAAGCAAGCGTTGGTCATAACCGTGAGGGAACTGAATAGGGAGATGCGGAAGCGACCAGAAGCGGAAGTCAGTCCCATCAATTGAGGCTGCCTACAGACGCAGTCTGCCTCAGCCCGGCATTTGCCACCTACGGTTCCGATCGTTAATGGAGATTATTCCTGCTAATATCACCGAAGTAGAAGGCAGCCATCAGAGCCGTGTGTCGTGCCTGCTGCTGCTCCTGTCAGCACAACCTCCCTGCTGCTAACGTGGACACCCACGGCGGTACTTATATTGGGAAATACGGTCACCCTAAGAGAAACTGGGACACCCCCAGCTGCTCACCCAAGAGCTCCACCCTCTAGCTGTTGCTAGAACCTCCCCCCTGGGAGGCTGTTGCTGGAGCCCTGTTCTGCCCCCCGCAATGCTGGAATGTTGCTTCCAACCCAGGGGGGCTGGCATCACTACTCCCCCCTCCCTCATTCCTCTGCACCCCAATTTGTCAGCAAGAGCAAATGGGACAAATGCCTCCTTTTGAAAAAGTCAGGCTGAAAAAGGGACTGTCCCAGCCAAAATGGGATGTGCGGTCACTAGGGTTGCCAGGTGTCCGGTATTTTCACCTCCCGTCCGGTAAAAAAAAATCAGAAAATACCAGACACCTGGCAACCCTACGACACACTCAGCAACTCGGCCCAGCCCCCGGAAATGCTGCTTACCTCGTTCTGCAGGGAAGCTGCTTTCTGGCTCGACCAAGAAAACAAGATGGCCACCAGTAAAAAGCCTAGAGACCACCAAGCAAGGGGAAGTAATGCCTTCCCTGGGTCTTAGTGCTCAACCTCTCCCTATCCCTATTTTGACTCTGCATGCACTTAAAGGGGCCATGCTATTTTATTTTTTTATGTATTTATTTATTGTTTGCTTAATAACTCTCAGGGTCCTTTTTTTTTTTGCTCAACAACTTTGTCCCCGCCCTTTTTTCCCCTTCAACAGAATTATTTTCCCAGTGTTTTTTTTGGGAGGGGGTTGGTATTTTTGGTTAAACCATCTGATAACCCTAACAGTCTCCCTAGTGGGGAAGGAGTTCAAAATGCCAGCTCCACGCGGCTAGCAGTGACCAGTTTCTGATCAGGCAATGAGAAAGCTGCATGGGGAGAGGGGGAACACCAAGACCAATCACTTTAAACAGAAAAGCCTCTTCTCTTGCAGCATGGGGAGGCAGGAAGGTGGGTAAATGCCTGCTTTTCCCTCCGGACACCTGGCTTTGAAGCCTAGAATTTCTGGGCTGGGCTGACTCTCAGCTCCTGGGGGAGAGACCTCTGTTTGGATTGGACACAAGGTGGCATGAGTCCTCCCATGGCGGGCACTAGGGCGGAATGGCAGCCACCCTGGCTCCGGAGGGGTTGGGTGCATCCACTGCGTACAGCGCGCCTGCTCTCCCCCTCCGTAGCAGCCCTTGCAGATAGGTTGCCAGATACCTTCACAAAAAATCCCAAACACGGTGGGAAAAAAATTGGTCGAGAAAAAAAAAAATGGGGAGACCAAACTTGAAGGTCGGGAAAGGTCTCTGTGCCTTTAAATTCCTGCTCCCCCTACCCAATGCAGCAGAGGAAAAATTTCCCTGCCGGCCTTCTGTTGGAGAAACATAGAAAACACTGGACATTTTGTATGATTTGTATTTTCTGTTTTTTTCTACCAGATAGAAAACCGGACACCTGGCAACCCTACTTGCAGAGCGTTTTAAGAGCCCAGTGTAAAAAGCCACATTGCATCT